TATATATTTTAGTAGTTGAAATGTTGCATATTTTACTAGTGAAATGTTGCAAAATGGTCACACAACCAAATAGAATGATCCAGTGTTAGAACTAGGTCTGAAAGTATAGTGAAGATCTCAGCAGTAATGAAATCTGTTGGACAGAATGCCAGAATTGCCATTCAGTGTTGGAAATTGTAAAAGACAAAATGCTACACAATGTTGTGAAATACACAAAGGCTGAAATTCAAATGAAACAGTCTATCTGCACCAGTAGCCATATTCAAAAGAGTATTATGACTCCACTAGCAGAACTGAAAGCATTCAAAGGTCTACTATAATTAGAATGGGCTTCTCGTGGTGATAGCCTGAATGTAAAAAAAGACTAATGGGAAAAGCAGTGGGTCAAAATATGGCATAGAAACATTCAGGGAAGATGGCGGATCACTAAGCAGCAAAGTAAAAAGCCTCTCCTACAGCAACAGCCCAGATGCCAGAATATCACATTCTGGAGAAGACGGGATGGAAGGAGTTGGATCCTCTTGAACCAGAAAGAAGCTAAAGTGAAAAAAGAAAAGAAAAGAAAAACTTGGACAGAAGGTGGTAGCCAGATGTGCTCTTACTGGAGCTGGTCCCACTGTGTGTGAAGCGCCACTGGAATCTGAAGTTTGGGGTTGGCAAGCCCGAGGGCTTTGGCAGGAGGACACAGTCACAGAGGGGAGCTCGCAGTGAGTGAGGAGGACTCAGTACTCCCACAGGAGTGGGCAATTGGCTAGGTGCCATTTTGGAGTGGGGCAGCAGAAACATGGAACCAGAACTGCAGCTGGCTTCATTCAGCCACTCCTAGTGCTGAACAGATTGGTGAGAATTGCTTGGGCTGAGTCCCACGCCTGTGTGGAATCCAATAGCCAAGGCCAAGGTTTCCCAAAAGCTATCCCTAACTGGCCCTGACCAAGTGGCACACACTAACATGGTTAAGACTTCCAGTGGTTGACCAGCTCAGAAGGGAAGGGCCAGTCTACACCCCCCCATCTTGCTTGTACTCCAGAGGTCACCAGCAGATTGGGGAGGGCAGCAATCCCTAGACCCAGCATGCTTCAAAGTAATTATAACCAATACAGAAATGCTGGGGACCTCACTATCCACTTGTCTGGATGTAACCAGAAATATGACGAAGAAGAAACAAAAGGCAGTCTCCAGCCCCCAACCCAAGCAGTACTGGCCCAGGTGAAGTAAACATAGAAGAGATCAGGAGTTGCACACCAGTAGTTTCTGAAGAAATGGCATCTGACATAAAGAAATATCTTTGTGACATTATAAAAGAACTTAAATATTAATACAAGTGAAGGAAGATATAAGAAAAATAATAAAACAAATGCTAAGCACCTCTCAAGACACAGATGGAAGAATAGAGGTGCATAGAAAAAGTAGGGAAACCTTCAATGAAGAATATTAAAAAATTTAGAATACATGAAACATTCAAAGAAATTACCAGGAAATTAAAAATTCCATTGAAAGCTGGCAAAACTGCTTGAAAGAAACTAAAGATACTCTATAAAACCTTGAAGACAGGTTTGCAACATGTGATTGTGAAAAGAAAGATCTCTTAAGAATTAACAAGGAATCAGGAAGTAACAATACAAAGGCTAGAAGACGACAAGAGGATCTATAAATTAAGAATAAAAAATTTGACTGAAGAAGCAGGGGTAAACACAAATGAAATAAAAAGTCTATTTACAGAAATAATTAAAGAAAACTTCCCAAGCATAGAAAAAGGAAATGATATCCAGATATGAGGCATACAGAACTCCAGCCAGCTATAACCAAAATAGACATACACCCACACGTATAATAATCAAGATTCCAGAAATTCAGCACAAGAATAGAATTTTAAAAGCTGTCAGAGAAAAGAAACAGATCACCTATAAAGGAAAACCTATCAGAATCAAGACAGACTTCTTGACACAAACCATCAAATCAAGAAGAGCTTGGAGTGAAGTAGTCCAAGCCCTGAAAGAAAATAACCTCCAACCCAGATTGATGTGCCCTGTAAAACTACCTCTCAAAATTAATGGAGAAACAAGATGCTTCCACAACAAAGAGGAACTGGAGGAGTTGGTGACCACCAATTCAACCCTACAAAAAATACTGAAGGACATTCTAGAGAGAGAGAAAAGACCATGGTTTCAGGAAGAGCAGCAGAAGGGGCTCACTGAATGGGGCAGACATTGGAATGAAGGGGAAAAGTAGACAACCAACGACAGAAAAATAGGATGGCAGAGATGAGGTGTAGAAGGTTGGCCATAATTGCTAACAAGGATAGCCTTGTACACTAATAAAAAGAAACACAAGCAGAGTGGATCGGGAGATGGGGTCCATCAAGATGCTCTATGTAAGTAATATAACCTGAAAGAGGCTTTACGGACTGGAAATCAAAGATGAGAAAATAATGCTCTAGGTGACAGGGAACCAGAAAAAGGGGAGGGGGGAGCTCGCCCTTCAGCTGCAGATTGGTTGGAAAGACATAACATTTTTTTTTTTTTTTTGAGACAGGGTCTCGCTATGCAGTTCAGGCTGGCCTTGAGCTCACTTTGTAGCCCAGGTTGGTCTCGAACTCGCAATGATCCTCCTGCCTCAGCCTCGCGAGTGCTGGGATTACAGGCGTGAGCCACCACGCCCACTTGACATAACACTTTTATACAATGGAGAACTACTCAGCTATAAGGAAGGAAATCCTTGAGGCTCTTGTAGGTAAATGGATACAACTTGAGACCAGTTCAGAACCATCTAGATAAATAGCAGGTGCCTCCTAATCTAGAAACTAAAGGAGTTAGTGGGATAAAAAATGCACAATGTACCCTGTGAAAGTGAAATCTTGTATCTTGAGATCTTGAGAATTGTATAGTACAATCTTTGAATTTCAGAAAGATGCAACATTGGCCTTTTATATGGTGAAGAAAAGCAAACTGGTACTGTTGATGTCAACATTTCACCACGATGGAAATATTGACAGGGAAAGCTTCACAGAACAGAAGCCTGAGATGGAAACTTTCTATAATAAAACTGAACATGGAGTAGATATTGTTGATGAGTTATGCAACAATTATAATATCACTTGAAACACAAAGCATTGGCTAATGGTTGTGTTTTACTTAATCCTAAACTTGTGTGGCCTAAATAGTTTGATAGTTCATAAAGAAAATAACAAGGGCAAAATATCACAGAGAAATTTCCTTAGAGGATTGGGACTAGAGCTCATAAGAAATCATTTATAGCGGAAGAAAACCAAAAAGTTTCTGCCCAGGGAACTAATGCAAAAGAAATTGTGGAGCACACTGGTGAGCTGACAGGTGAACAGGTAGGTGCAGTGTTGTAGTCAGGGTTTACAAGGGAATAGATTTAATCAAAACAGATTTTTTTCTCCAATCAGACTTTATTAGTACATTTTAGATCTACATAATGATCACATTCATCATAAAGAATTTGTACCTGTACATTATAACTTGTTTCTTTTTTTCCCCATTTCCCTATGTTTCCTTCACTTCTTTTCTCTTCCCCTTTTACAAAAGCTTTGTTTCCATTTTTTCTCTTTCTTTTCTCATTTTTTAAAAATTTCCCTTCTTGGCTGGGGATATAGCTCAGCAGCACAGTGCCTGCCTGGCAAGCACAAGGTCCTAAGTTCGATTCCTGGTACCAAAAAAAAAAAAAACATAAAAAAATTTTCCATTCTTTCCTTTCCCCTTTCCCATCCTTATTCCCTTCTCCATTTGGACATTTTCTTTCTGTTTCACAATTCCTATTAGACATTTTAGTCACTCTTTACACTTTTTTCTCATACTAGACAAAAAATTCAGTATTTTCATGTGTGCAGGACACCTAAATCATAGGATTATTCTACAGTATTCACCCAAAAAGTCAAATGTAGAAGAGTGCAAGAGATTTGTCCATACACTGGTGACCCACAGAATCCAGTTGAGGGCCTGGATCCCACGAGTCCAGGGAGACCTAGAGTCCACAACGTCATGTGCAAGTCTGCATCAAGGATCTGCACTAGGAAGGCCCAAAGGCTAGTCATGGAAGCCAAAAAGTCTTTGCCTGTGTGATGAAGGATTTGTGTCAGCAGGGTGAGCAATCTGCACTGGAGGCAGGATGCAGTGCTCAAAGCAAGGACCAAAGCTTTCCGGAAAAGAATCACAGCCATCCTCAGCGACAGTGAGGACCTGAGCTCCTCCAGTGATGAAAATGGCTGCGTTCATATCAGGAAAACCAATGTGACAAGCTTCTCCAGGAGAGACAGCAGCATACCATATTCCCCTTCAGTTTCCCTTTTATGTTACTGGCAAACATCCTCAGGTGGGCCTTCCACACCCAGAACCATGCTGACTCAGTACTGCTCGGTGTTATAAGTTGATCACTAGTTAATCCACCACATCCTGTATCACAGACTTATTACAGGAAACAGGACACCAGGAGAACAAAAAAGATATCAACTGTGCCTGTCAAGAAAGTATACCAGTGTAAGTGATACTTGTATATGAAACATGCAGGCTGTCGTTGGTGAAGAGTGCCTTGGGTATTACAGTTGAAGCAAAGCTTATTTCTGTGGTGGACTTTTGTTTTTATATTGCAGTCAGATAAGGGTTTTTTTGATGGTATTTTTTTAGGTTTTATAAGCAAGTAAACAAATGATACAAAAATGTTGATGTCTACTCTAAGCACTCATTACATATTTCATATTTTTATTTATTGACATCTTTTTTCTCTGCTCGGTACATGTTGTACAATATAATAGGAAGTTCCTGACAAAACTGGAAAAGAAGTGACAAGACTGCCACATAGGAAAGGAAAGCTCAGCATATGTGCTATCAGTGTAAGCAAGACATATGTGTCGCACATGCAGTTGTCACATGTGAAGACTGCCGTGGGTGTGACAGTTGATGGAAAGTTATTTTTGTGGTACAGTTCTATTGGTGTTTTTATTTAGGAATTTCTTTTCTTTTCTTTTTGGTTTCACTATGCAGGTCACAGTAGGCTTGAACTCACTTTATAGCCCAGGTTGACCTCAAAGTTGCAGTGACCTTCCTGCCTCAGCCTCCTGAGTGCTGGGATTACAGGTATGCACCACCATTCCCAGCAGGAATTTATTTCTGATGTTATCTTTTATGGTTTGTAAGGAAGTACACAGCAGATGTGGAAATGTTGATGTCTATTCTAAATGTACAATACGTACTTAGTTTAGCAATTTAATTTATTGATATTTTATGTTCCTGTTAACTACACACTGTATAATAAGAACCTCATGGCAAAACAGCAAGACTACTGAGATGTCAAGTATGTCCTACAAAAAGGCCAGGGAAGTAAGACATGTGCTGTCAGTGTGAGTAGTATGTGTGTATGGAATTTGCTGCTGTCGTGTATCCACACTGCCTTAGGTGTGATAATTGAAGTAAAGATTATTTTTTGTAGTGTGCTATTGGTATTTTCATTGTAGTTCATATGAAAATTTATTTCTGATGTTCTTTTTTACACTTTGTACACCAAAAACCAATTGATGATAAAAACTTTGATATTCTTTTATAAACAATCAATAAATATTAAAGAATTAATACTTTTATGATATTTTTTCCTGTTAAGTACTCATTAATACAATAAAACTCATAAAATTATAATTCATCAATAGAAATGTTCTAAAGAACGTGTCACAGACCCATGTTTGTGTACCTTGTTGACAAAATCAGTCTTATACTGATTATGAGAAAGAACTTTTTGTTTTACATATGTATATCCTTTTATTTCATATATATGCATATTTATTTTTTGTTGGTTCATGGCAGGTTTTTTTTTGTCCTAGGAATCAAACTCAGGACCTTGCACTTGCCAGGCACATACTGTGCTGCTGAGCTATATCCTCAGCCATTTTTGGTTTGTTTTGTAGTACCGAGGATTAAACCCAGGGCTTCTCATGTGTTTGGCAAAGGATCTGACAACTACAACTCCCCCCGCCCCAGCCTATTTTAAATATGTATACATTTTTTAAGAGTAAGAATACATATTGGAAAATAGGAATTGGGGTATAGGATAGCTTCTGAGAGACAGAAGGAGTCCCTAATGAGTTGCCCTATTTAAAATAATGTTTTACTTTTATTTATCTTTTTGAGACAGGTCCTTGTCATGTAGTTTAGGCTGACCTAGGACACCTTATTTGGCCTAGAGTGACCTGAAATTCATGATCCTTACACTTCAGCTTTTTAATTACTAGGATTTCAGGCATGTTTCACCTTGCTTGGCTTTTAATTTTTTTTTTATTTTATATGTTTAAGGAGTTAAACAGGATGTTTGCATATGTGTAATGAATGATTATTGTCCAATTAACATGTTACCTCACAATTACCTTTTTTGTGGTAACAACGAGTTTTTGATGTGATTGAATTTTTATTAACCTCAAAAATATTTTTATTGACCATTTAAGTTAAAAGAAAATATCCTTTATGTGAGTAAAAGTTGAGTTTTAATGTAAGTGTATCATTGTATAAAAGCTGAATTTTAAAAGATATATATGCTCTTTTGTTTATTTTTAAAAATTCATTTTTCATACTATGTTTCCAAAGGTACATTTCCTAGATAAAGAAACAAAGTATACTTTATAAATCACAATGTTATTTTTAAATAGAACTGTCTGTGACTAATACTTTAAGATCATTAAAAGAGGGATTGACCTCCACTGAGCCAGGGAATTAATGTTGTTTATTTGATAAGTAGAGAAAGACTTCTACTATTCAGCTAGTAATAAGCAAAGAAAATATAAAAATAGATTTTAAGTTATGGTGATTTTTTTTTGGTTAGCATATACGAAGTTTTCATGTTACTGTAAACATTTAAAATTCATGAAAAATTTTATGAATACTGTCATTATTTATAACAAGGTTTTTTAAAAAATATGTAACCAGTTTCTTTTTTTTTCTTTTTTGTCTTTTTTCCTTTTTATCAGTACCGGGGATCGAACTCAGGACTGCCTGCTTGCAAGGCAGGCGCTTATGCCGCTGAGCTAAATCTCCAGCCCCATTTATAACAAGGTTTAACAGATTACCTAGGCTGACCTGAAACTCTGGGGCTTAAATGATCCTCCTGCCTCAGCCCCCTAAATAGTTGGGACCATAGGTACACACTGTTGTGCCCAGCTGAATACTGTATTTGGAATGTGACTTCAATGCAGGCTTTTTTAAAATCACTAATTACATTGGCTGGTGAGCACATATTTATTCAGTCACATTTCCTAGGAACATTGGCATGTTAACAATTTAGTATTCACAGTGCTTACAAGAGTCCAGGGGAGGTGGTAGGTGGAGTATGGGATAAAAATCATTGACCTAACAGAAGTAGTTCAACATTCATTGTTTTGTCTAACAGTCATTGAGTTCTGTTATATGCTCAACATTGCAGTAGGCATTGGGATTACAAATGTAATAAGATGTAACTGTTGCCATAAGGGACCTTCATTCTGACAAAGGTATGTGCCTATACTATGTTCATAGATATGAAGATACAAACATGCCAAAATTATCCAGTGTTGAGCCATCAGAAAACTCTGTAGAGGATATATCAGGGTACAAAGAATGGTCATTTCTTCTAGAGTTTTGAGAGGCAGAATGGTAAAAATGTCAGGTTAAATTTTTAAAATATGCATTTTCTGACTTTTAAGTCAGAAATGTCTTTAATTATATATTTCTACCAGCATGGTCATAATGGAGTAAAAAGTAGAAGAGCTATATTCTTAGTATTTTAAACATCATTATATTGGTAAGTACATCACACCAATCTCTGCCTGTATCTTTATGTAGCTGTTTTTCTTGTGATCTCTGTCTCTCTTCTCTTAGAAGGATACCAGCTATATTGGATTGGGGCCCACTTTAATGGCTTTATCTTAACTTTTGATTGTATATGCAAAGGTCCCGTTTCCAAATAAGGTCACAGTTAAGTGATTTGTTTTACAGCATTATTTTAACTTTTAAAACAGAGATAGTATTCTTGTCAGTCATTTTAAATAAATTAGTATTAATCTTTAGAATAAAAATTACTGTCTTGAAGACTATGTAGGGGAATAGCTTAGTGCTAGAGTGAGTGTATGAAGCTGATGATCCGCAGCACCAAAAAAGTTACTTTCTTTAGTGCCTGCCACTAATATAAAAACTTCTTGTTTACCTTTCCTATCTGTCTTTTATTTGGTGATAAGTGAAACTCATGGTTTAAAACCAGTAATTATTGACTCACAAATACCTCATTTTTGGAATTGGAGATCAAATTGAGGTCCTCTGGCAGTTTGGGGAAGTGATCTATCACTGAGCTACCCATTCTCAGCCCTCTTCACTATTTTATTTTGAAACAGGATCTTGCTGTCTTGCCTAAGATAGCCTTGAACTCCTAGCCTTAAAGGAACCTCTTGTCTCTGCTTCCTAAGTAGCTGGGGTTATAAATGTGTGCTATTGCACGAATTTTAAATTATTTAAAACTTCATTTCAGGTAATCACACTTTAATAGGAAGTTTAGTACTGAAATACATTTCCAAGTAGTATTCTGATATTAAGTTATACATAAAGTTTCTCCACATGGACTTTTTTTCTACTTAACATTAGAAAGTTTTTAAAAATTCATTAATCCAAACTATTTGAGTCCCTTGTTTCTTCATAATTTTAATAGCATACCACTGCTATAAAAGTATTTATACTAGCTGTACCAGAAAATAATAGCTTTGGGAGCATCAGATGTAGTGATGCATGCCTATAATCCCATCACTCTGGGAGGCTGAGGCAGGAGCATGGCAAGCCTAAGCTGTGCAATTTAGAAACTGAGAACCTGTCTCTAAATAAAAAGAAAAAAGAAAAGTCAGAATGTGGCTGAGTGCAAAGCCCCTGGGTTCCCAGTGCTGCAAAACAAAAGCAAAAAACCAAAAAAATACTTTTTTTTTGCTTTACGAGGAATAACCAAGAGACCATACAGACGTATGCTTTCTAAATTTCTACATGTAAGCATACTATATTAATTCTATGTTATATAATGATAAATACCAAAGAAATCAGGCAAAGAATCAAAGTAACTTTATACATTTGAAGTAGACATATGAGAAATAAATAACATAATATAACTTTACCTATGAATGGTAAAATACTGTTTCTCCTAAAGTTTAGGCAATGTTGCTAGAATATACTATTAAAGAAAATTCAATAGGGTCAGGGGTGCAACTCTCTCTGTAGAGCACTTGCGTAACATACACAAGGCCCTGAGTTTGATTCCTAGTATTTTTTTTTCAGCTGTGACTCCAGACAGGATCCAAAGAGGAGTGTCAGTCTCTTCTCTGGGTTTTATGGAGGGTTCCTGTACCCTTCTGTGTTAGCTTCTTAAATCACTGTATCAACCTTAAAAGAGCACAGGAAAGTGTGATGATTCCTAGTATTAGTGGAGGGAAAAACCATATAATTTTGTGTAAAAAGGTTCATAAGTTTGTCATGTTTATAAAATCTTTTAATCTTGGTACAATTTATATTCAAAACATTCATACTACAGGAATACATCAAAAGACAAAGCCCACCAGCATACATACAGAATGCTTCTTGAGAGATTGAGGATAAAGGCAAACAGAAATTAGAGTATCTTATATTATCCGAGGCAGTGAAATTAACTGCTTTTTAAAATGAAAGTTGTACGTATGTGGAATTATTTTATAAATTTATAAGCGTTAGCATTGTCCTGGTTACTTTCACTATTCTCTCGTTGATTGGACAAACTACCTGATACCCAAATGAAGGAAGGAAAGGTTTGTTTATCTTGCAGTTTTTGGAGGTTTCAGTCCATAATCAATTGGTTTCAAGGCAGGGTGGCATGACGCTGGGGCAATACTTCAAGGCAGCAGCCAGAGAAAAGGGAAGAAAAACAAGGCTGCCTTATATTGTATGCAGGCTACTCCTCCTCCCAGGGCAGGTGTAACACTCAAAAACATCTTGCCTTCCTTGCACAGGATGAGGATATTTAAAAAATAAGAACCCTGGCTCCCTGCTGAGTCTCTCAGTTAAATTTGTAAACTGCTCAAGTTGACACAGTGTATCGACCATAACAAGCATAA